CCTGAGTGTTTAAACAGCAGCAGTTGGCGTAAACCTCCCGTAATGCAGCCTCATTTCTCTGGGCCCTCACACACACACACCTCAACAGGCACAAATGCATATGTAGGTCATGTGAAAGTACGATCGCATGGGCCACTATTCTAAAACACGGCTTGTTTGGACATGTCTTTCAGTGGTGCTGTTCATTCAGCCTGCTTAGTTTTGTATGCTATTTTTCTAGCTGCGTGTGTGTTTCTGTGGGTCGTGCTGTTTATGTGTGTCCGTCAGCAGGTAGAGCTCCCCAGCCATGCCGCCTCCTCCTCTGGGCACAATATATGCATGTCAACAGTCGGAGGACCACAGAGAGGGGTGTATTGTGAGGGCCGCATTTTGGGGGAGAGTAGAGTCCTTGTGGGTTTCAGGACCTCTGTTTATTGGTTTTTGAGTAAAATTGGTTGAGAGTGACCCTGGGTCAGAGTGCTGGCCTCTGCCAGGCTAGGTTAGGTTTGCCTGGCTTTGGGTCACACTGCTTCTTTGTACGTACTCCAAGTTCAGGCTTGTCCTGGGTGACGGCCAGCTGCAAAGAAATGTGACTTCTTGACCATATTTGTCTGCTTGGGTTTAATGCCCATTTCCTTCTGAGAGTGCTTGACCAATATGTAATCCCAGCATAATATCCCATTCACTATTGTGTTCATGCTTGACCTAATATATTATATAAAACAGGGTGCTTTTTGTATTGCATGTTATCTTTGGATAACATATCTCTTGCCAGTGCCAGACAGACTAAAGTCTAACATTAGTGACCTCATCTATTCTATGACCACTCTTACATCACACTTTTGGAGCCGCTCTGTCTCATACTGAGGTAGGTGTTCAGTTAACCAACTGATTACTTTATAACTTGATGTTCTTTCCTGGGTTGGCTGTATCAGTTGTTTTAACAAGAAAGGTCTCTTTGAAACCGCATGCAGACACTGCGCACAGTGTCTGACTCATGCAAACACAAACATACAGTGATACCTCAGCAGGGGTAGGGGTGTGTAAAAATTCAGCTGTAGATATGAGCAGGAAATTAGCTGCAGATGTGGGTGTAAAGTAATGCAGATGGAGACAGGGAAACCCTCTTACCATGACACTAAGTCCACCTCCTGTCTTTTGGTATGGCAAGCCTGAAAGGGGATCGCTTTGAACCATGACACTGCTGTGTGGCTGCAAATCACCAAATGATCTCATCCTGAAAAATCTCTCTCTGATGCAACATGTGATCGTATCTTTACATTTTTGATTCCTCATAAAAACATTTCCCTTTTTCTAGCTGCATAAAACTGCCAGAGCCCTATAAAATGTATTTGTAGACACTGAGCTGGTCTCCAATGTTAAAAGGTTAATGAGCTACAATCAGTGCTTCAAATTTGTGTTTAATTGATTAAAGCTGCTTTTACAATTTGTGACACCCTGGCGGGAGAGGGGAAAAAAGAAGGTGAAGAAAGAAACTCCTGTTTGACGGTCTTTTGTTTGATGAAGCTTGTCTCAGCTCAGCACATACCAAACTCATTTGTCTGATTTCCTAGTCAGACTGGGAGGAGGAAAAGAAGCAGGAGGCAAAAGAGGTGTAGATTTTCATGAGGATTCCTTGGCTGCGGTGAAGCACTCCATTTATGGCTCTGATTAATTGCTTTTCATATAAATCATTGGTACAGGCCTGGGGCATTGCTCTCTACCTCGAGGTGTGTGAGACAGGAGTGTGCACAATTAAGGGAAGGAAAAAGGTTAGTGAACATTATTAAGGACTCAGTGACTCTGACAGAAACACAAAAATCTGTGTGCGTGCAGTCATGTGGCCTCAAAAGAGTGAGTGATGCTGTATCATTGATGGGCTGGGGATGATAATAGTTCTGCAGAGTATTGTGTAATTGTATGTCAGGCCCTGTGGAGATATGTGTTTATTTAGTTTAGATGATTGAAGCTGCATAATAGTTTACACTGGGGCAGCTTGTTATTCAAATGAGGTTGAGTAATTGTCCTCTCCTGCTTGTTAACGTTTGGGTTCACTGGGAATGCTGCGCTGTAGTAGATTGCTTTCGTATAAACAGTGACCTCTACACTTAATTAACAAACACAGTGCAAAACAACAGATTAAAATGACTCAGAGCCTTTTCTCACTTGTACAGTTTACATTTTGTCGAGGTTCTCCCTCGTCGTCACATTATTACTGGACGCACCTCTTAGTTTGTCCACTCATCTCCTTGTTTAGTTTTTGTTTTTCATCTTGATCTACCCATTTATATTTCTTTCCCTGACTTTCTGCTTCTTCTCTGGCTTCAGACATTCTCTCTCAGAGCTGGGCCCCTCCATGCTGGCACCCAGACTGCTCCCCCCACCAGCCCCGCTGCAGTCAACGTCTCCAAACATTAAATACCATCCTTTTGCTTCATCTGCACCTAATTTTCTTTCGCCCCTCCCTTTCTCCCTCCTAACGCCTCTCATTTTTCACACCTCAGATTGCAGCCAAGTCTGTCTGCTGAAGTTTCTATGTGTCCCCCCCCTCCCCTTCCTCACTATTTTTTTTCCCCCTGATCCCTCATCTCTCTGTTTCCAAATGAGCCTTTCAGAGATTGTCAGTCATCTGCATCACCTCCTTTCTGCCTGGACATGCAAGCACGGAAAGGAGTGAAGGATGGAGGGATGGTGACAGATTGGTTTGTGTGGGAAGTTTTAAGCAGCTACAATGGAGGGAGCAGGCTCTGAAAAGAGGGTGACTTAACCTGAAAAGATTTATTTTCGGCTGAAACGTCTTATTCAGGCCTACCTGGCAATTTGCCGAGCAAAAGTATATACATATATATATATATACAGACAAACCTTATCGCATGGCTTTCTTGCCATTTACACTATCACTTCCTGTGGCCTCTTTAGGCTACTTAGTGAGCTAAGAGCCACTCAGGAGCATGGATTTGTTGTAGGCCATTTCACTTCCTGTTATTAGATTGGTGGTAACCCTCTCAAGAATCTACATAGCAGGGAGCCATTACTGGATTCTAGTATCTGCTTATAGATAAAGATATGGATAATGTGAGCAAGCTGATGCAAAAGACAGAAAACGAAGGACGAGCCAAGGAAGCTGCAAGGGTATCTATGCATTACATGGCCTTCTAGTCAACCTGGGAAGAGAGAAAATATGAGGGAGGATAATGAAAGTCAGTGGTGAACTCAGTATTCACATTCAGTTCAATTTATTAAAAAAAAGAAGAAGAAGCTGACAGATAGAAAAGCAAAGCCCAGTTTGCCATCACCTCGCTTCTTTATTATTTCTCTCTCCTCCGTCCAGACCACTAATAGCTGTGTCCTTTCATACTCTTCATCGTTTCTCCTTTTCAGGGGAAGAACTGAGGAATTGTCTTTGTGCCATGACCAGGCTCTGTGTCTCATTTTGGTCAGACAGTTCTCTCTTTTTTTTTTAAGGTCTACAGCAAAGGCTGGATTTATCATTTCCAATTATAAACACAAAAAGTAGACCTGTATAACTCAAGTTCACTTTATTTCTATTGCAAAGACACACACACTGGCACACAAAAACAGTTGTTTCTGTTCCTTAAATATGAGCTTCTGGTTTCTGGGTGCAGAAGGCTTAAGTGGGGAAATATGTGCATATTGTTGTGTTTCCGCTGTTAGCCAGGTGTGTGTTCTGCACGTAGAGGTGTGTGTCAATGCGGTGTTGAAGGAGTCTATAGAGGTGTGGCAGAGTGTGAGAGTGTCAAGCTAGCTGTGCTGACAGTTGCAGGAGGCTGTAGGTTGTCGGGATGTGGCCGACGATTGCGTGCATCCACTGCAGCTCCGGATGCAGAGCATTCCACCTTCATCTGTCTGTTAGCAGGAGCACTTGGAGCAGGCTGAAGGCTTTTGCTTCATTGTGAATTCCTTATTTTTTTTCCTCCTTACAACTTGATATTGGTTGACTTTTGGAGTGATTGTATGATTTTAGAGATACATTTTTGCTATGGGATGGCCATAGACGAGGACCCCACTTTAGTTGGGAAATACAACTGTCTTTGTATTCCACAGATTCTTCTGTTTTTCATTTTCAAAGCCATAAAACAAACTAGTTCTTTCACATAGCGTCCTATCTTGCATGTGAAAGCAGCCAGTGTATTTTTCATACATGTGGAATGCCAGATGGTTCGTGGTCAGTTTGTATAACAGTATGATCCAGCGATGCTATTTCCTTTGTCTTACTTATTCCGATGTTTTGATGACAACAGTGTTTTTTTTAAATCATTTAGAACATTTTGACCTTCTTGTGTTTAAAAATTGCATTCCTGAAATCCTGGACTCTTTGTCCTACGGTTTAATGTCACATAAACTGTAAATATTGGTGTGGGTGTTGAGGCAATGCACCGGGCCTTTTGCAAGCCTTGTTTACAGAGCTTTCTCAGCAGTTTGTATTTGTTTGGAGCCATGTGATGGAACACAGTTCCCTGATAATGGCGTCGCTTTCTGTTCATTCAACCCCTCGCTCATTTCCCCCCCCCCTCTTCGCCTTGCAGCTGTTTTTGTTAAGCTTAGTTTTCTTTCCATCCAAAATGTTTGGTCAGATACAGACTCGTACCCATTTCACAAGCACACATTACAGTGCTGACGTGTTTACATTTCCTGCTAAACGTGCAGACAGTGTAACACTCATGACATGGAGACACACAGCTCAAACAAAGACCCTTAACAGAGAGGAGTTTGATCCAGGTCTCAACCCTCATCTTGACCCTGGGGTCAGTTTACAACTTGTCAAACCTTTTGATTCTAAAGGGTCACTAACACTAGAGTCGAAAGGCTTTTACCAGGCTTGCAGCATATTTGTAAGTATTTAGTTTATAAATGTTAGAAAATGGTTTTAAACAACAAAGAACCAAACTGATGTCCTCAAGTTAATCATTTACTACATAATGAATATATGGCAATTTAAAAAGCAGGAAAATTTTTAACGTGTTTTTTTTTTTTTTTCTCTTTTCTCTTTCTTTTACCAGGGGCAGTACCGGCCTTCTGACCTCCTGTGCCCAGAAACCTATGTCTGGGTATCGATAGAGCGATGCATCCCCCTTCTTGACAACTCCCGCTACGCTCGTTTGAACCAGGATCCTGATTTAGGTACTACTGCACAAAACTACTGCTCGACTGATGGCATCACATGGATTTAATGTATGAAACTACATCATTTTTTTAAATGCAATTCCATAAACACAGCACTGTAGAAAAGTCTTACGCCATCCCTCATGACTTTATATCTTGCTTCCAAGTAGTCTTGAGGAATAGTTTTCTTTGGAAAATGGTTGCTTTTTTACTCATTTTTAGTCCAGTCATTGTACTTGACCATTTTCAGGGTTTGTTTGTTTTGTTTTTTTTAACACTGACCTGTGAATCATTTAAGCATTTAAGCATAAAACAGGCTCCAGACTCCTGAAACACAATCCTGGTCTTGTGTAGACAAATTGGCAAAGAAGACATTTTAAATTGTCTATTTAGAAACCTTCTCACTAACCGCCTGCTGTTCCCATTTCTTTAATAATAATCTGTAAAAAATTCCTAACATATCATTGTTTGACAGGCTTAAAATAGTATTTGTGCACCAACACTGTGATGCCCTTTGTGTCCTTGAAAAATTTGAGGAAACTGGACAAGTAGAGACCAAAAAAAAGTGTCAAACCTAAGAATGATATAAAGGAGAATCTGACAGTCATGTTCTTATAAAATATGGAAAAAAAATCCAGCAAAGACCTGACGCAGGAGAAACACAGTGGTGTTGGAGATTTTTCTCAAAACTGATGGAATTATGGGCACAAAAAAGTACCAAAAGCCATCTGATTGGCAAGAGATTCAACTTTTTCCAGCATTACAATGATCCTAAACACACTGCCACTGCAGTAAAAGCATACCTGGAAATTAAAACAGAAAATTGAACATGGATTGGCCTCCCCAGGATTATTGAAAATTACTGAAACAGTAAAAACTGAATTCAATTTAATAGAATATGTACAAATTAAAGAGGCGTTGGCAGATCCTACGGTTTTCTCATTCCTCATCATAATTTGGTATGGCCAGAGCAGACTTGTATGCAGACATGTATGCAGTGCATATATAAACCTATGTATACGTACCACTGATACACTCACTACATGATTGACTGTTTTGGTTTTTTTCCTCTTCGGTTTAATTTTAAAATGTTGGCATACTTAATGCAGTTCCAAGAACATGACTGGTTGAAGGTACAGAGAGCCAGCCATGTCCTGTTTACTGTGGCCCATTAATCTGCATCACCAAACAGGCTCCAGACAGAAAAGAGCCACCGATCAACAGTAATAGGAGATGTGAGCGGACATGAATTTGATTGTCAGATAGATGGAGACTGATACGTGGAGGGGAAAGAGAGTGAGTAATTGAAGAATAGATGGAGGGAGAGATGGGGGACATGTGATAAAAATGTTTTTACAACGAAGGCAATTGAAATGATGGGCTGGTGGCTGCATGCTTGCACCCAGAGAGAGAAAAGTGTAATAAAATGGAAGATGGATTGATAGAGAGTTGGAATGAGAAGGAGCGGTATATGAATGTTAAACAACAGACGCAGAGGTTTGTTGTAGTGACCTCATACTTGGAGAAGAAAACCAACACAATTGATGAAGGAATCTCAGTCCGGGTCAGATTGTGTGATGAGGAAAAGTTTCCAAGCAGTTAGTTCACACTCTGTAAAGACAGTTAATCGAAACACATTTCTTAAGGAAATGAGGATTTACTTGCTAGTTTTGGTCGTTCAGTTATATAGTGAAAACAACATGCTCGGGATAAATAAGAGTATTTAAATGTCAATTAAAATGTTAAATGACAATGTCTAGACAGGTCATTTATAACACTGCAATTAACATCTTAGCCAGCGGTTGATCTGACCTTTTGTTTTGTTCCCAGTAGTCCTCGGCCTTGCACAAATTACTGAGGACAAAAGCAAGGTCTTGGCATTAGCATTATTCACAGTGAGCAGTTTATGTTTGTGTGTCTGTGGTTCTTGTGGTGCCTGGATTCCTGCGTGGACTGTTGATCTTGGACAGGACTGGGCATTATTTCAGGCCTAGCTGTCCAAACGCAGTGTCATTACATTTCAGTGCTAGCTGTCTTGATGGTTCACTCTCAGGTCTGGTGCCAAGCTTTGTGACTGAACTGTTAAAAGCCAGACTAACAGTAGTGTGGAGGGTGCTGTCTGCTTTAGAAATGAGTCAGCAGGTCAACCTATTTTGTCATTGTCACTTTAGCAGTGTGTCACACAGTTGAGGTTTGTGGCCCAGTTCTTTGGCTAGTTCTTGTTGTGTGATTAGATTTTTGGACACAAATAAAGACATGCTGCAAATAGTTGGGAAAGTGTTGGGAAAGTCTTCACTGTTCATTTAGGAATCTGTTGTGGCAATTTATGGCAGCTGCTGGGCCACAAAACTAAAATATTTGTGCGTACGTCAGTGATTGTGACATGTACTCTGCTCTGATTGATTGATCTGCTTTCCCACAAAGCAAGACTGATTACCAAACTATGTTTGTCTAGTGTGATGGTTGAGCAGTCAACTGTCAATAACAGAGGGTTCAGTGCACAGCCTCTTATTTATATACTGGGAATACTGAATTTGTCACCATCAACACTGGTGTCACATTCTGCCAAAAATAAATATGTATAGTAATATAATTTCTCTGATCAAGTCAAAGAAATTTGACTTTAGCCTATTCACATGGAGATCTGTTTGCCATTACAACTCTCCTTCACTTTATTTACAGTTAGTGCGGTTTATTCATTTAGTGTCAAACAATGAGGTCAGTTCCTCTCGATGACAGTAAACTAACACCAACTAAGCACTAACTTGATGTTATTGCCCCAGCCATCTTTATTAAGGCTCTGTTATGCTTTTTTTCCATTATATTATTCTCGGTCACTACTATACAGTAATCTTGTCTTTAAAGCAAACCCGCCTATAAGCCGCCTCTCCTGTGGTTGGTTGCTGCTTGGAGACAGAATGTTTGAACTGACATCACACGGAGACTTGAGTAGAAAAAACGAAAACAGAGTACGTGGAGCAATCAGCTGTTTCATCATAGGGACTGTTTGCATCACACATGCTGACCTCATTATTTTAAGCTTAACAGTATAAAGACAGAAATAAGGAAAATCGTAGTAAATCCACTTTAAGAATGCGGTCAAAACATCCTGTCTGTAAATGGGAAGGTTAGGATAACCATGTATTACATTTACTATTAAACCAATAATAACTATCATTATACTTATGAAGTGCTTTTTTACTCTAACTGGGCGACCCGCTCTACCTCCTGAGCAACAGCCAACCCAATACACAGACGTCCCAGGCATTTACTTTTTTAATTATTTTGATCTTTTTACTTATTTTATTATTACTATCATTATTATTAATACCTTTGCTGTCCTATCACCACCACCATACTGCTACCCATAACTATTAGACAAATGACCGAATCCTGAATTATATAAACTGTTAATCAGGTATAATTCTTTAAATCTTACTGATGAAGTTAAAGAAAGATTTAATTTTCTTTTTAAAATCATTTTTAAACATAAATGAATTAAAAAGGAATATTTGTGAAACAAGCATGGCTAATATTAAGATTATTTTCAGAAAACAAAGTTAGAACAGCAGATGGTAAAAATAATGTGTTGCTCGCTTGTTGAGTAGAATGTGCTGGTAGTTGGTTAAAATCACGTCACTTGATTTATTTCCATACCTTTAAAGAGTCAGTGGAGAAGTCTAAAAATCAAGTCACCAAAATAATAATCATACTCGCAGTGTAACCTCTCTATATAGCTTGAAAGCCAGAACTTTAACCTCCGGCCCCAAGACAAAGGTCACTGTTAGTGTGCTGGATGTGTGTTTAGACTGTAAAATGTGACCAGGTTACAGTGCTGTACTAATGAGGTGTGTAAAGACAGCTAATCTAAAGTTTACACAGCTCTCTTCACATCAGACTCACACTGATGCCTGTTGCTGACATCTTGAGGGCCCCGGGATCTGGGGCGGGTTGGCTCTTAAAATGTATGTACACACACACATACACAGAAGCTCACTGTGTACAGCACATATCTGTGTCTCACACACTCATAATCCGTGTTTGCCTAACAGCGGGAGTAGTAGGGGCATTGGCCGCTAAGCAGTATAAATATTTGCAAAAATACGTGACCCAAGTAGTCACCCCTTGAACTGTAAGTGCGCCTGGCAGCCACTAACCCACATGCACAAAGTTACACATTGCATACACAAACCCAACGTTGTGATAAGTAAAGTGCCAGCTGGTATTTCACAATGTACTTCTCTCTCTCTTTTTTTCTTTTTTACCTTTCATTACATCTCTGACAAACACATTCACAGCTTTGCATCAAACTGATAGTCTCTGTGCTTTCAGTGCAACAAAGTGAAGCTAAAACACTAGCTAGAGGCGTGCATTCTAGCCTGATGGTAGCCAGCCATTACCCCCAAACCTCTTGTGATTCACATGATATTTCTAGCTTATGCCACACGTTCATATCTTGTCTCACTGTCATGGCCACTTTGCTCTGCTCTTAGGCAGGCTTTGTGCTCCTTAGCCTGACTAATGCACGTTTCCATTCAGATTAAAGCCTTTTTTTTTCCAGCAATACAGGAATTTCTCTTCCCGGAAGCTTTTCTTTTGGTGCTTTAAAAGAATATTTAAGTCTTTTCATTAGTAATAATAATAATGGTAATATCCTTTATAATGGAAGGATATCCTATTGTTGCTTCGCTTCCTGCGATGGACAAAATTCATGGTCACCGGCAGGGATTCAGGGTCAGCTGCTAACACAAGGGCTTGAACCCAGGTCTTACAGTCAAAGAGCAGTCTTCTCGGCACACTACAACACCCTTCTGGCCCTTTCCTTTTCAACCTTTAGATCTTCAACATTGGGTCAGAAGACGTGGTCATAACCTGATGGCCTGCCTTTGACCAGCATCCGGTGTTAAGCAAGTGTTTCGAAAGTTTGAGATGGATGGGAAGAGAGAGAGAAGCGTGGCGGGGTGTCAAGGCCCGTAGCCTCAGCCTTGACCCTCGCACTCCCTTATCCGACCCTCATCACTCCTCTTCCCCCTGACATTTGAACTCCAGCCCGAAGGAGCTGTGACCTCAGAGTGGCGTGTCACTGAACGTCCGGTTGGCCTGACAGGAACAGGGTCTGGAGCCACTTAGAGAGAAGAGACACTGATGCAGCCAGAAGTGAGTGAAGAAGAAAAGGAAAGTTGTTTATGTGAGGAGCGGATGTTTGGATTGCCTTGAGTAAGAGAGAAAGATCTCTGCTCAGTATTACTGTTTCACTTAATAGGCCATCTTCAAGCTTCGTGCTTCTCTCCATGTTTTCCTGTTTAATGTAAACTCGTCAGTATCTTCACGAGGCGACACTGTTGGACAAGTGTAACTTTGTAATAACTGCAGTGTAAGTGGACTGTCACCGTGATGAAGAACATGAGGCGGCACGTCATGAATGGCCCGAAGGAAGCCGAAGAAGCATCAGATGTTTAAATCTTTTCACTTTGATTCCATTGGGACACAATAGTTGAAGAAGTTGCGTAACATGTTTACATCTTTTTAAAATCAATTTTGCCACCCGCTGTGTTAAAACCTAGAGCTGGTATCCTTTATTTAAAAGTTAGTATCAGCCTTCCTTCAATTATGTGACTCAGCAGTTTCTCGAGAAGGGTGGAAAACACAGTAGTTAGGGCATTACTGAGCAGGGAAACGAGGCTAATAAATAAAACATGAATCAACTGTGTGGAAAATTCTAGCTGAAGTATGAGAATATCTTTCTGGTGATAAAGCCTCGGAGCTTTGTGCTTCTAACAGCTCTCTTCTTTCCCTTGGCTTGTTTTTCAGGTAGTTTGTGTGCAAGTTAGATGCCAAAGTTGTAGATAGATTGACATTTGGATCTCTGTACGCCACCTCAATGGACTGAAGTTAGGCAGTTGAACTGAGAGGCACTTCAGTCAAGAAATGGTCCAAAATTCCTCCACATTGTTTTGGACGCTACTCGAGCAACTACAGGAAACATCTGATGGACGTAGTTGCTGTTAAGAGGTTCTACAAAATACAGAAACAATCTGGTAACTTAACATATTAATTTTACATTAATTATAAATAACAGGATTATATTTAATACTCGGATGCAATTCATTTGGTTCAGGTCTAGAAGCTAGTCAAATGGACATCACCAAGTAGGCCTTTACTGCAGGTGCCTTCAGTTGATGCTTGTTCGCGCGTCTTACGGCATCAGGTTTTGTTTCCCCCGATGCCCTGTCCATGCAGCTTTGCATGGAAATACCCAGAAACTATTTTAAAGATCGTCAAACATTTTATTCTTATATAATGACGTGTCAAAATTCATTAAGGGTGCTAGGGAGGTCATCAGATGTCATCTTTATGGGTGAAAGAGTTCAGATTCAAAATTCTACAAATGTTCCATTTCTTTGCCTCGCTGTCGATTGATTGATTAAATGTGAGCATATGGTCTTCATGTTTTGTTTTATTTTACTTTTTCCTTAAACATTTTGGTTTTGATGCACTGACCAGTAGATTCCCTCCTTTTTTTTTCTGGAATCTGTCAAATGGGTCTGTAGGCCCGTTTTGTTTTTCAGCCCTAATGAAGGCCTCCTTCACTCTACAAGTCATTAGACCACATGTTGAACATTAGCCAGAACAGCCACAGAATGCAAATCCAGCACTTAGAAACAACTCTAGACATATTATTACCTTGATTTGACCCGAAAGAAATAACAACAGTCCACACCTGGCCTCGAAACCGCTTATCAATGAATTGTCCGATTACTTACGAGCCTGTATAAACAGGAGAATTTAAACAAGTGATTTTAATTCCTAAACAGTTAATGTGGTATTTTTGCTACGTATTTGTGATTTTCACTTATTGTTTATCCATCTGAAGTTATGCGAATATTTAAAATGTCCCACTGGTGAGTCTTTTTGCTTGAATCTTAGACTTTTCCTTTGAATCTTTCCTGCCGATTAAGCCATCATCTGTCTTGGCAGCGGTTTAGGCCTGAAACACTGTAACAGATTACTGCAGCTGAGGTTGACTCGTATTGCTCTCAACAAGTCTATCATGTCTAAACACATCCGAGGTCCAGTTACAGTGCTTTTTGAGTTTCCTTTTTTTTGTAAATGTAAGATTTCTTTTATAGAAAAGACTCACTTTGCATTTTTTTCTCCCTGTTGTTTTTCCAGTTGTTGATGTGATCAGGTTGTATTTGGCTGTATTGCAAATATTTTAGAAATTAGTCAGAGATATGTGCGCTGGCATCTTCTTCACCAGCTGCTCAGCTGTGAGCCACATGGATGATGTCAGTGGAGTGATTAATTGTGAAGCCCTTAGTTCTCTTAATACAACATCTACTTGGGCCTTTTTGACTGATGTGCCTGACAGGAGAGTGCACTTCACTACCTACCTGCTCCAGAGTTTTCTTTTTCCTTTTTTCTCTAGGTTTCCAGATCAGGATTGCTTCAAGCAGGACACTTTTAATGGATCAGTTGTTATATGCAGAGTATTTAGGGGAGATATGCATTTTAGAAGACAAAATAAGCATTTTGCAATTGTTTAACTAATGGACTACATGGTGTGATAATGGACTAAGAAGATAAATAAGCATTTAAGAGTGCTACTTGAATGACTGCAACATTTATTGGGTAGTTTCTGACACAAGAGACTTGTAGATGTTCCAGTGCATTAAAAAATAGTCATTTTCTGACTGAAATGGGAAGTTTATGAGTGAGACTGAGGTAGAGTCATACCTCTGTACAGTATATTTGGCTTTGCTTTGCTCAGTATGTACTCCCTGCTGTGCTTGGCTCAGTGTCTCACTCCTGGAGGCGGCAGATTTAGTGTCAGAGTGAGGGTCAGTGTATTTCAACCCTTTTTTTCCACATCTGACTCTCCAGAGAATCATTCTTAGCTTCTGAACACATACACTTTAGAGATTAGTAGTGTTTTACTGGTCCATCAGAGCTGTAAAAACACTGCTGGCAGTGTATGACACAGGACCTAATGAGATGCTGAGTTTGGCAAGCCAGCAGGGAGCAAGGCCCTGTAAACAAGGCCAGCTAACTAGCTTGCTCACGCACCACTGTGACCCCAGGTTTAGGGTACAGAGGAATTAAAACTGAAGGAGGGGGGGGAATGTTTTCTGCTCCTCCAACACTTTCTCGGAATAATGGTGAATTTCTGCCAAGACACTCAGAGGTTAACTCAAACGAGCGAGGGAAAATAAGGACATTGTTTATAGTGCTTGATGTGTCTACACTGGTCCTCATTATGTTCTCATATGTGCCTGTTTTCGTCTAGGAGATGCTCGGGCCGTGAGGGATTTGGGCAGAGCTCTGGTGCTATACAGACGGACTGTCATGCCCTATGCAGCCTACTCCCGCAAACGCAAGGGCTCCAGCGACGAGATGGAGGTGCAGCAGTACGCCAGCTTGGTTGGCCAGGACTGTGCTGAAAGGATTTTGCTTTATCGCTCGTAAACACAACACATCATATTACCTTTGAATAAACGTAAATACATACTCCCTCGTCTGTTTCTGTATGTCGCTGTTTATGAAAGTGCTTTCTGACGCCTATCCGCGTAGTCTCACCGTGCTTACCCTCCTGTATATGCTGACCATGCAGCAGCCGATGGCAATCTACTGCATGTATGGCCTCATTCACTTATTCATTTATGAGTTATATTTTTTTAATCTGTGAACACCACTGTTCTGGGTTCATTCTTTTTTGTGTGCACCATTTTGATTTACTACATTGGCAAGTTCATTAAATGGTATTTTTACTTTATGTAGCAGGGGTGCAAAGGTACACACAATTCAGTTTTGTAGGAAACTATTTGGAATATATTCAGTGTAATAGCAGTACAGCAGAGAACAGAAAAGAATGTGTTATTCTTTTATTTTCAAAAAACTTTTCCAAAATTTATACAAAAAAATTCAAAAGTTCCTAATTTGCTGTAACTTTTTTAACAGTTTAATGCTGCATATGGTCAATGAGAAGAAACTCAATTAGAAAATAGCAGCCAGCAGAGTAACTGCAGCTACACTGCTGCCTTTCTCTCTTATGTCACCGTGGGACGCAACCATCTCCATTGATTAAAAACAAACTGTCAGTTTAAGCTCAACTTGTAATAAATTTGCTATAGCTGAGGTACAGCAACTGGTGCAATGCAAACACACACAAAAAAACAGGACTAGACATAAACAGATGAGCCAAAGAAAAATTTATACTGAACAGATTGACTAATGGGATCATATTCATGTACCCTTACGCCCCTGTCACATATCCTCCCTTTGACTTTTTTTCTTTCTTTTTGGCACCTCTCTTAATTGTGTATGCTTCAGTGCTGATCTGAAAGAGTGTTTGACTGCACCCGGGTTCGTATCAACAT